ATATATATATATATTTTTAATTTTTGTAAAATGAGTATGTTTTGAACTTCGTTCCTTTAATTTTTTTTTTTGTTTTTTATTCTAAAATTTGAAACTATTGTTTTAGACCCTATTATTTTTGTAATCTTATTTAACTAATGTGTTAATTAGAAGATCATGTGATCATCATATTCATAACTGTTTGTTATACTTTATTGAGTAATGATACACATACAATAAAAATGTATAACTTATTATACAACATTATTTTTGTGTCTATCTTTGTCATTTTATTTTGTCATTTTATTTATTATGAAGAAAGGTATTATTAATGGAGAGAGATGGGCATAAACGTAATGTTGTATAAATTATTTTATAATTTTTGTTATATGTGTAACATTATTTTATTTGTATATGATACTTTAGATTTTTTTTATATAAATTCTTAAAATAAATATATATACATATATATATATATATATATATGTGTGTGTACCTTAAAATGGACATCATTAATTGAAAATAGTAACATTGAATTTTAGAAGGATGAAGTCAAAGAAAAATATTTTAGAGAGATAAACAAAATTTTTCTGATTTTACAATATCTAAAAACAATGTCTACAAATTTTAGAAGAGTGAAAAGTAAAGAAAAATTTTACAACAAAAATTAAAATTTATTCATTTTGTAGAGACTAAAACGACATTTTAAAAAAAATTATATTTTGAAGGTTGAATTGTATTTGGTTACAAGCTTTTGTTAATTTTTGAACTTAAGTATTAAAAAAAAGGTAATACATTTTTTTGTCCATGCAGTATTTTAAAACTTATAATCAAATACTAATATACACTCGAAGGATGTGACTTTTATTGGTTAAACATACGAGAATCGAACTTGAGAATACTAAGTTGACTCTTATGTCCCTACATAAATGTTAAAACTATTGAGATTAAGAGACTTGGTTAAAAAAAGAGAAGGAAAGAAGGAAAGAAAAGAGAAAAGAATACATTTTTTTTGTTTTTGCATAGTACTCAAAGATTTGGCTTAAACTAATTTGATTTGATCGAGAAGTAAGTAAAGTTTGACAAATGATTATTTCCATCAAAAATTAAACTCAAGCATTGCCAGAACGCTAAATTCAACACATTAACTACTTATGTTTAAGTTTTTTGAATGAGATTTTAAAGTTATTGACTACAAGGATTGAATTAATGTAAAAAATTACTCTGGAGGATTTTTTTAAGGTATCCTTTAATTGAAATAATTCTTTGAAGTATTAACATTCATTTAAGGTATTCACTTTTTTTAATAAATGTTTGCCTATACGCACTCACGCTTGACCATACCCTGGAGGTTTAAAAGTACATAATTATTGTTCATTTCAAATGATACCAAGGAACGGAATTGATATTTAAATTTTTTAAATGACTAACTTTGGTCGGAATCAACATTATTCGATATTAGGAAAAATGGGGCACCGTGTCTCAGTATTGTTTTAAAAATTAAAAAATAATAAATAATTATAAAATGAGAGTGTGTAGTTAAAGCTTACAATGTTGACTCGTTAGATTGTTATAAATATTAGACGTAAAAAGTTCAAATAGATGTAATACTAAAATAATAGATTCCTTTTATTAATAGTTATAGATATGTTTTAAAAAAATTTAAATAAAACCGTTAGATGTTTAAATGGTTTTAAATCAAATTATTATTTAAAATAAATTAGATAAATTACTAACAAATTTAATATTTTTTAATTTAGCCTTTTTACATAATTTTTGGATGAAATATTTTTTTTCTTGTATGTTTCACAAAGTTGTGAGAAAAATCTTTAATTATTTACTATAGACGAAATTTAGTTAAAAATAGCTTTTTTTTATTAATTTCAAATAAAAGTTAGTTGTTGACTTCATATGAAATTGTATCTTATTTTAATCTAGACTTTTCTTTTTAAAAAAAAAGTTAGTAAACCACCTAACACGTATATTAACTAGTATGAAATGTACATATTTGAATTTTTTTTTTTTTTTATCGTGGCTCATAATAATTCTATCTATGTCGATAAAGATTAGAGAAAAAAAATCAGCATGAAATTAACGATTAAATATCCCTACCTATTCTTATATTTTGTAATCTGCCATAATAAGAATCTATCTAAACAAAACCCAGTTGTATAAATTATTCAAAAGGTACAAATATAAAATAAATAAAGTTAATCATCTATATATTGTTAGTGTAAAATTTTTTACATTAATAATTAATTATGTCTTTTAATAATATCATATCACTAATAAAAGTAAATGATATGATACTATTAAAAAACATGATTAATTGTCAATGTAAAATAACTTCTGGTAGTGTATAAGTGATTAACTTAAATAAATATACTACACAAATCCAAAAAAAGAAATACGCATCCAATGTTACTGGTTGACTTTGAAAGCTTGAATATATCTTCTTTTTTAATGAAGGGGACATCAAAACGTTGACAAATTCAAGTCCCTCTGTTCGATAGATTCACATCAATAGATCACAATTGGTTATATATTAACACATGCATGAATAGAGACGATGGTTACAAATACTATAAATTATCAGGTTTCTGACACCTACAACTTTGAGAAGACCAAAGTGGTCTAGAATGAAATGGCTTGAATAGAACTTAGAAGCCACATGACTCACTTGACATTATCATGTCATTCTCTTTCAGATAGAAAACAGGCAAAGGGCATTAAACTAATATGAGTTAAATAAAAACTCGATAATATGAGGATAATTAAGAACCATCAAAGCAGATATAATTAATTATTAAATTAGGTTGTCATAATTGGTGAGAAATTCACGTTGCTTAATCAAGTAATTGAAGTTCAAATCCTGATTTTTGTAAATGAAGGAAACTCAAATTAAAAATAAATGTTCACTTAAATTATGCAAGCCCCGTTGTCACTCAAAGGAATGAAGAAGAAGAGGGTTGCATTGCAAACTATAAGCTAGGTTCCATTTTAGGCAAAATTTATTATATATTTTGAATTTTATCCTTATAAATTATTGTTTACTATTTGAAGGCTTTTGTTCACTCTAATTTTTGTTCAATTTTCTTCGTTCAAAAATCAAATTTTCAAAGGAGTTTATGGAGGTACCTTGCTTCTGTGAAGCCCAAAGAGTGGACTAGAGTAGCCAAGTAATACAAAAAACCAATTTAATGTGATAAGTTCATGACATTTACCATTGGATACGTGATTCCACACTTATTTAGCACAGTACATTCTTCATGAAATTAGTTTAAATGATCAGCAAAATTCAAAATTTAATATAAGGCATTTCAAGCTTATAAGCATATATTTAATTATGTTCAATTTTTAACACATCTTTTACACTTATTGACTTGGATGTCAAAGTGTATGTACATGTGGTTGTATGTTTTACTTCTCAACATAGACTATTATTACTTATCCAAACCTTCTTAAAGTATGTTTGGTTTTCGGTTTGAAAAAGGTAAAAGTATGTTCATTTGGAAGCTTCCTCTCACATATTTTTTTGTTTAGTTGTCTAGGAATAAGTGTTACGAATAAAACAAACACATTAATCATATGAAACATGCATCACATTCAAGGTGTCAAAAATACCTTTCAACACCTAGAAACAGAAGAGGAACATAAAATTATAATGAAGAGCATTTAAATGCTCTCCATTTGTAACTTACAGCAAAGAGAAAATTTCTTGGAATGCATTGTGCAGCATGTAGAGGACTTGCTGGTTAACAAGCAGAAAATTCAATGGACATCTTCATATTAGTTAGACAGAAAGTAGTAAACTAGAAGCCTTGTATTATTAAACAACAAACTAAAATTTTACTACTTAATCTCGTGATCAAAACATTTAATGTGAGAGGTACCCCTACCATGCACTACCATTTTATACCATGTAGAAGCCTAAAATCAGGATTCTTTAATGGAGTAAACGAATAGGAACAATTCAGTAGTGATGCCAAATTATGCAATCATGTGCACATTGTAAGTGGTTAGAGAAGTGATATGTAGAGAATTTTATTACTTAAAAATGTTATTTCAACACCCTCAAACAACAAAACCGCCCGTTAGATACTTTTTTCTTTCTTTTTTTTTTAATCTTTCCTAATAGGCAACCTACGTAAATAACTAAGGGTAGGAAAAATGAAAAAAAAAAAAAAAAAAAAAAAAAAAAAAAAAAAACCA